TTTAACATGTAAACTCTTTTATTATTAATTGTGTTTCCTTTTACATTGATAGCTAGCGGCTAGCCATTTTAAGTCAGTATGATGCTTACGGGAACTCGATTGCTAGCTCATTATAGATTTGCCACAGCAAACAAGTGCACGCACATGACATTATTTGAAGCGTTTAACACTGCCAGATTTTATCAAAGGCTTGCAGTACCCAGTTAGCACACATATTGTATACAGGGAAGGATGTACTGTACTGTACATAGAGATTAATATGGCTTAAGCCCTAGACCCCTAGTGTCAAGGGCCCACAAAGTATGAATTATTATCATAAATTTTTAATACTTTTTCATCTTATAATATAATCAAAATGGGTTGTAATAGTAGTAATAAGTGCAGAGCATAAATGGTTAGGAGTTGAAATTTGGTACACAGTTGGGGTATGTCATGAGAATATACACTAAGAAGAATTTTTCGAAATTCCCCTCCGCGGGGAAGAGGAAGAGATTGATGTTTACCCTGAAGAACTTGGTTTCTACTGTACTATTTTAAATGCAGTTTTTTGTATTTTTGGTGGAAATCAAACATATTTTTAGATTCATCTAAAAATTTTCTAATTAGCCTCAGAAGAGGGGGGAACCTAATTCTTGCACTTGGTGAAAACGGATGATAAGAATAAATGCAGAGCCCAAACGGTTAGGAGTTGAAAGTTGAAATTTGGTACACAGTTAGGATATGTCATGAGGATGCAGACCAAGTAGGAATTTTTAGAAATTCCACACCCCTCCCTGGGGAAAGAGGAGGAGGGAGAGAGTTTTAGTCAGTATAAAGTGTAAATAATAAAGAAGGAAAATAAATAGTGGTGCACATAGTATACATTTTGGTAATTAATAGATATTTTAATCATTTTCACCTTTCAGTTAACCCAAAAACAATAAATCCAAAATAAACAAATTTGAATTCATTCCAAATTCGAAATATAATGTTTGAAACAAGTTTTTTTAGACTTTAGAATTTAAAATTAATCATTTTATTCAAGTAAAGTAAATTCACACCAAATATCATCAAGTTATAATGAAAAATTTTCTGATTTTTTTTAATTTTATAGGTTATTTAAATAAAAAATAACTAAAGCTTTAGTCAGTTAAAATTCAATAATGATTTTAATCATTTTTTTGCATTTTTGAGTGCATTTTAGTAGAGTATGCCATGAGAATGCACACTAAGAAGGGATTTTTGGAAATCCCCCCATGGGGAAGAGGGAGAGAGTTAATTAAGGATTACCCTGAAGAAGTCAGCTTCTACTGTTCTATTTTAGATGCAGTGCTTTGCATTTTTGCAGGAAATCAAACATATTTTTGACCCATCTAAAAATTCTTTAATTAGTCTTGGAAGAGGGTGACCTTATCCTTGCACTCAGTGAAAATGGGTAAGATCGGCTATAATCTAATAATCTTAATCTTTGCTATTGTTACTTTTTGCCCGAGCAATGCTGGGGTCATCTGATAGTTATATTTCACGATTAGATATAATTGGCTTTATAATAGTCCATACTTTTTTAGACACACCAAATAACGTTTCTGCCTATTGTTTAGTGCTAGAGATAGGCCTATTATTCTTATTATAACTATCAACATGCCCAAAAATTTTGGTCAGGATTTATCCCTGAAATACCAAGTCATTTTATGGGGGCAGAGGCACTCATAGGGGTTACCCTACTCTGAACTTTGAAAGGAGCCTGGGGCATTTACCCAAATACTTTTATAGTTAGTATTTTTAATATTTAACTTACATTAATATTTATTTATATAAAAAATTTATTTTTAACAAATATTTAATAAGAGGAGAAAGAAGGTGATAAAATTCTACATCTACATATATTCGACAGCATTTGCACTTCAATTTTACCCTTCCAGAAAAGATAGTCCAACTAAAAAGTGTGCATTTAGCTACTTCAGCCCCTTGTTCAGAAAAAAATAGTTTTAGTCTGAGCAATTAGTCTGGCTCATTCAGAAAAATAGAGTACTTATTTAGAGCAGGAATAATAAAGGGATGATTCAAAAATATGCAAATTCATTGGGTCAAAGTAATTTAACTACTAAACACAAATACTAGAAGAACACTACATATTTAATAAATTAAATTGCTGCATTTTGTATTTAAAATAAATGAATTATAACAAAATACAAAAATATTTTTTAAAATTAATAAATATATAATAAATTTTCTTTCATTTAAATAAAAAGACTAAATTAAATTTAAAATGCTGGATTCAAGTTGACGTATTTTTTTCCAACTCCAGTTTCTCTTGCCAGAAATTCCTTCTGACTCCACAGCCCTGTTAAGGACTAATAAGGGCTAACGGCCCAAAATGCATTTCCATTAATAAAAAATAGAATATAAAGTCTATTTTTTCCATCAAAAAAGTGTGATAAGTTCTCTATAGCAATTTTGCACTTAATTTTAAATTAAAGAACATAAAAGAGAACAAGAAGCAATCAAGTACTAAAATTAACTTTTCTTTTTTTAATTTTGTTTTAAAAATATTGGAATTACTATATTAAGTTTTAATTCAAGGCCTGTACATTTAAAAAAATAAAACAAAAATTAAATAATAATAGCCCCAAAAAATAACTTATGAGAAGACACTAAGAAATTTTGATACTCATGGTTGAAATACTAGTTAATTCATGTAGAATAAACCAATGAGTATGTGATCATATTTTTAAATATATGATTTGTAGATATTATTATTTTGTTTATTGTGATGTCATTATCAATACAAGGTCTGATCAAAAAATATCCAATCTTTTTTTGTTTGTAAGTATTTCCAAGCTGGGGAGGAGACTGTCATCATGTGACCTTGGACCCTATCGTGTTTCCCCGAAAATAAGACCTAGCACAGGTTTTGCTGAATTGTGAAATATAAGACCTCCCCCTGAAAGTAAGACCCAGCAAAGTTTTTTTAGTCATAACGGTCATCGACAGATGGTTGAAAGTGGCCGTTGGCTTTTTGAAAGTACAGCCACTGATTGGTCAGCAGGCAATTACACTACACGGCATGATTTGCATAAGACTATGGCTTGGGAATCAAAGATTTGCATAACGTTACGGCTGGTGATGGCTAATTGGTCGGCCAGGAATCACGCCACATGACATTTGCATAGTGCTACGGTTCAGTAAGCACTAATTGGTCATCGAGTCTGATGTTGACGCTATAAAAAGGCGACNTTAATTAATTTATTTTGTTAAATGCATTTAAAAACTTTTAATAAGAAAAAATGTGATTTTAATTATATTAAAATATAGTATATTATTATATTTCTATGCAAATAAGAGCATGTTTTATGTATAAAAATTGTGTTTTTTGCATTTTTGAAACATGTCTTGCATCACTTATAAGAACATACCTAGCATATAAGAGCATGTTCTTGTGTGTTCCAGCTTGTTTTCACTTATAATAGAACTGTACTGATGTGTCAATGTAAAGTAAATGTAAACAAAATTAAAATACAAAAACTATTAAGTAGTATCTCTTAAAATTAAAAAAAAAAAAAAAATTCTGATACTATAAAGGTTTTTTTAAAAATAGTGAAATTTTAGGTGTTTTGTGAATTATAATGACAATTGTATGAGTATGCTCTTTATAAATGGACCAAATCCGTTTATAAGAGTGTATTCACATATAAGCATGGAAATATGGTATTTAACTATGACTGTTTTGAGCTTGAATAAATTGTTAATTTTTCAGTATTTTTAATTTTATAATTATTATATATTTGATATTCAGTAAGTAAATACTGTATATTAAAATATTTTCTTAAATAATATATATAATTAATATTAAAAATGTATGGAAGATACAAATTTTATTACATCACAAGTTCATTGTTCACAATTATCAGTGATAAACCAAAGAAAGAAAAAAAAACATAAATTGTCATATAGTTTGCAATTTTTTACAGAGTAACCTCTCTATTGAAAGGTCATCTCTGTGTGCATTTTTTTTGTCACTAGTGACTGTGAACAGCAGACTTCTGAAAAGAAATTTGTATCTTCAATATATATTTTTAATATGTAAATACTGTTAGTCTATTTTTAATAAACTGTATGAAAAGTGCAGTTGTGCCCTATCACCGAAAGGTTACAAATACAACAATATTGAGACAGTATAAAATGAAATAACAATAAATTTATTGAGATAACACAATGCACAATAAAAGGGATTTGGATACCAACTCTAGGGCATTCACCCAACCCTGCCCAAGAACAAAAGAGTTCAGCACATGGACCTGTGCGACAAAGAGGTTTTCATGTTTACAATAATAAAAAAAAAAGGACACAATATTTATTATAAAAATTTACCTTTTAAAACAAACTTATGCCTAAAGATGTGGAATGGAAAATTAAGATAAAAGAGAATAGAGAAAGGAAAGGGTATGCAATCCTTTCCTTTCTCTATTCTCTTCAGATCCTTTTATTTCTGAGATGACTATTTTAATTGATTCTTGGGGATTTCCTCCATCCTTTTGGGGAGGTTATCATATATCTTTTTCTGGAGCCTTGGGCATTTACTCTCCTGATGGGATGGTTCAGAATGTCAATTAATAACCAAGTGAAATAGAAATAAAGGGCAGGAGAAAGTCTAGAAACAGGAAATGATAAGAATCTAGAATGTTCTATAATAACTTAAAATTATGGCATATAGCCACAACTGTTTGTTAAACATTAATTTGTTTGCATTAATGTTTCTGATTACATTAATCATTTTATGTGAATTTCTTTGCTTTCTAATGTTTTGTTTTTTGTCAATAATTTATTTTTCAAATTTCTTAACTTACTTTTTAAAATACAAAAGCTTAAATTTTCTAAATTAAAAATACTTCTTTAATTATTTAATTTAAAAAGTTAATTTGAGGAATAGTATTTTCTTTTTAATTAATAAGTTGTCAAAATAATATGTCAATTATTTAAAATTTATATTATTTTAAGTAATATTAAAATTTTTCTTGCAGAAAAAGTACCATACCATTATTGCCAATAGCAATGCAGTCATCAGTTCCCTTTATAAGAAATATTCAAGATTGGATATCATCAGCAGAGGGTATATTTGTGTAGATAATTTTGTGTAGATATTTCTTGTTACAGTTAGTTTAGTTTACTATGAATTAATATGAATGCTGTATATAAAAGTATAAATATAAACAAATTTACAAAATAATGCTTTAAAATTATTAGAGAAAAGTAAAATATATATTTAAGACATGCTCATAATACTTATATTGGAAAACGTTAAAATAGTTTGGAATAATTTTTCGTTATTATTGGTAAAGAAATTTTTCAAAAATAACTTTGCTGGTACTAAAATCAACTTTTCTTTTTTTAATTTTGTTTTAAAAATATTGGAATTACTATATTAAGTTTTAATTCAAGGCCTGTACATTTAAAAAAATAAAACAAAAATTAAATAATAATAGCCCCAAAAAATAACTTATGAGAAGACACTAAGAAATTTTGATACTCATGGTTGAAATACTAGTTAATTCATGTAGAATAAACCAATGAGTATGTGATCATATTTTTAAATATATGATTTGTAGATATTATTATTTTGTTTATTGTGATGTCATTATCAATACAAGGTCTGATCAAAAAATATCCAATCTTTTTTTGTTTGTAAGTATTTCCAAGCTGGGGAGGAGACTGTCATCATGTGACCTTGGACCCTATCGTGTTTCCCCGAAAATAAGACCTAGCACAGGTTTTGCTGAATTGTGAAATATAAGACCTCCCCCTGAAAGTAAGACCCAGCAAAGTTTTTTTAGTCATAACGGTCATCGACAGATGGTTGAAAGTGGCCGTTGGCTTTTTGAAAGTACAGCCACTGATTGGTCAGCAGGCAATTACACTACACGGCATGATTTGCATAAGACTATGGCTTGGGAATCAAAGATTTGCATAACGTTACGGCTGGTGATGGCTAATTGGTCGGCCAGGAATCACGCCACATGACATTTGCATAGTGCTACGGTTCAGTAAGCACTAATTGGTCATCGAGTCTGATGTTGACGCTATAAAAAGGCGACAGTTTGACACACCGGATATACGTCACTCTCGTCTAAGTTTGACTTGGGAATTTTTTTGTTCAATAATAATTGTGAATTCTTCTTCCTGGAAAAAATAAGACATTCCCTGAAAATAAGACCTAGCGCATTTTTCAGAGCAAAAATTAATATAAGACACTGTCTTATTTTCGGGGAAACATGGTAGTATTTGTGTGTGAATTTTGGCAAGTTCTTCCTACTCTGCAATCACTGTCATGCAGTCATTGTTAGTTGCATGTATACAGGGTGTATCAGAATGACGTTTTAAAAATTTGGGGGATTGTAGAGGATGAAATTTAAACGTTTTGATATAAGGAATCCAAAGCCAGAAATGTGATATAAAGTTTCTACAGCATTTTGCACTTTGCAGTCAGTATGCTGAATGAAACAGCAGAATACAGTATTTATGACAAGTTTTATTGACAAAACAGTAGAGTTCAATCAAACTGTACATCAAATCAGTGGCTGCAGTACTTTAGAGTAAATGTTCAATGTGACCTAACGGTCCAGGGTTCGAGTCCCTGTTCGGGCGCCAGTTGTAAAGTACTATATTATTTTTTTCGACTTTCCAACGATTATCGACACTACTGTGTGCCGGAAATAGCCGTTCCCTAACGGGTACTTTACGCGGATTCGCGTTAGTGTGCCAGGCCTGGACTTTAAGCGTGCACCGAATTAAATAATGACAAAGTTTGTCAATAACAAAATCAAATATTTAATTAAACTTCTATTAATAAATTCGTTTACCTCAGGCAACTTGGAGGCTTCACTAACGATTAGTCCTACGGTGGAGGCATTTGGATCCATATTGGAGACAGGATCCTCCTCTCGCTGTCTCCCGTCTAGTTTAAAGGTTTTCTTTTTCCATTACCCTTCCTTTGCCATGTTACTTTTCGTTCGGGACTATTGGGAGTCTTGACATTCGTTTGATCAGTTTGTCTTTTCCCCTTGGGACAATTCCTCGAAAAATGTCCCACCTCACCACATGAATAACAGGTCATGGGTGACTTTGCCGGTGCAAAATTTTTCGGCTCTATCTGCTTACTTACTTTTCGACAGTCCTTAATCTGCTTTGCACTGTCAGAAGAACCTTGGTCATTTCTTCTGAATTCGTACTCTTTTGCAGTGCGTACTAGCTCGTTTAACGAATAAGAACGGCGATTCTCCAGATACTCACGTAACGGAAGAGGCATCTGGGCAACTACACATTGTATAATTTCCTCGTCACGA